ATGACAGAGCCCTATTCCCACAATAACCTGCAAAAGGTTAGGCATGGAAATTTTGAAAAATCACCCTAGGTAATTCTGAAGCACATTCTGCTTAAGAGATCGCTGTTGTGGAGATGGTGGGGAAGGGAGCCCAGGGATTTCCTGATAAGCACACTGAAGTTGTGAGGGAGTAGAAACCATAATAATACTGACAAATCTATCTGGAAAGGGGAGACAGAGAAGGAGACAGACAGACAGAGACAGAGAGAAAGACCTGGGCAGACACACAGAGAGCACATGGCCCCAGGGTGAGAATGGACACAGTAGCATTAGCACCTGTTTGCTTTCAAGTTCCCAGTTCTAGTTTCCTGTGAGGCCTGGCTACACAGCAGGGTATACAGTTCCTTCCTTGGTTACCCATGAAATCTATTCATCCTTAAGCTATCTTCTATTCCTTCCACTCCTGGCCCCCTTCCTCCAAGTGGGCCAAAGTACACAATTGTTTCTTGTAGGAAAGCAGCTTCCATTAGAACACGTTTAATAGTATTAAATTTAGGCCGGGCGTGGTGGCTCACGCCTGTAATCCTAGCACTCTGGGAGGCCCAGGCAGGTGGATTGCTCAAGCTCAGGAGTTCAAAACCAAGAGCGAGACCCCGTCTCTACTATAAATAGAAAGAAATTAATTGGCCAACTAACATATATATAGAAAAAATTGGCCGGGCATGGTGGTGCATGCCTTTAGTCCCAGCTACTGGGGAGGCTGAGGCAGGAGGATTGCTTGAGCCCAGGAGTTTGAGGTTGTTGGAGCTAGGCTGACACCACGGCACTCACTCTAGCCTGGGCAACAAAGCGAGACTCTGTCTCAAAAAATATATATATATAATAATAATAATAGAGTTTATCAGGTGCTAGCAACTATCCTGCTTTACATGAGCCATTTCAGCTAATCCTTACACTATTACCATTCCCATTTTATGAATGGGAGGAAAAGAGACACGGAGAGGTTTATGAATTTTCCCAAAGCTGTATAGCTCATGACGGAGCCAGAATCAAGCCTGCGTTAATCATGATGCCACTGTGCAGCTGAGGCTAAAAGCTGCCTCTGAATCCAGGTTTGAATTCTCATCTGATATTTATTTATAAATGATAGTGTATAATTGCAACTTTTTTTGCCCTTCCCCATTTTTTTGCCCCCCACCCCACTCACCATGTTGCCCGGGCTGGCTTCAAACTCCTGGGCTCAAGCAATCTTCCTGCCTCAGCCTCCTTAGTAGCTGAGACTACAGGCACATGACACTGTGCCTGGCTCAAGAGAGTATTTTTAAATGTCTAAGTTTAAATGTCTAAATGTTTGTTTATTTAACCTATTTTTTAATTTTTAAATTGTGTTTGTGTGAGAAAATGTGGCTTATTTGTGCTTGTTGGAATTTTTGAGATCTCTTTGTGGTCTATTATAAGATCAGTTGTTTTTGTTTAATTCTTCATTGTGGCATTTATTTTATCTGCCTTTTTCTGTAGCTCTGTCTTTTGTTTACAATGGTAAAATCAGGCCAGGCGTGGTGGCTCACGCCTGTAATCCTAGCTCTCTGGGAGGCCGAGGCGGGCGGATTGCTCAAGGTCAGGAGTTCAAAACCAGCCTGAGCAAGAGCGAGACCCCGTCTCTACTATAAATAGAAAGAAATTAATTGGCCAACTGATATGTATATAAAAAAATTAGCCGGCATGGTGGCGCATGCCTGTAGTCCAGCTACTCGGGAGGCTGAGGCAGAAGGATCTCTCCGAGCCCAGGAGTTTGAGTTGCTGTGAGCTAGGCTGACGCCACGGCACTCACTCTAGCCTGGAAAACAAAGCGAGACTCTGTCTCAAAAAAAAAAAAAAAAAATCATTGTGGTCAGGAATTACATCTTATTCATCTCTCATCTCCCTATTGATCATAAAGTAATTGCCTGGGAGAGATATTTAGTAAGTTAGTATCTGGAATAAATGAATGTGGATCCCTATGGATTTGAAGAATGTTATACATGTTAAAAGGCCAGAATAGAGACTGTGCCATTTCTTTACCTTTGATCCATCCAAATACCACTATTTTTCATCACTTCTTTTTTTTTTTTTTTTTTTTTTTTTTTTTTTTTTTTTTTTTTTTTTTTTACATGATTAGGGTATCCTTAGATTTTCATCACTTCTACTTGGATGCCCCCACTCTCACCCTACCTCTTTGGACCTCAAAGGCATAGATTTGGGCTATCATAACCTTTCGCTTATGATACACTTTCATCATTGGTCTACGCTTTATTTATTTATTATAATGTGTAATAATAAGCATTTATGAAAACACCATCCCAAACACTAAAGGAAACTTTGGCAATGACGCACATCCAACCATATGGTTTCCCCTTTCCCATTGGTTTTGTTTCACACCACCCAAGGTATCTGAAACCCACATGTATCATTCCCTTGCTTTCTTTTTTATGCAATTTTATTCCATCTACATTCTCACTGTCGCCTCTGCTAGAGTGCTGTGGCGTCAGCCTAGCTCACAGCAACCTCAAACTCCTGGGCTCAAGCAATCCCTCTGCCTCAGCCTCCTGAGTAGCTGGGACTACAGGCATGCGCCACCATGCCTGGCTAATTTTTCCATTTTTAGTAGAGACAGGGTCTTGCTCTGTTGCTCAGGCTGGTCTCCAACTCCTGACCTCAAGCAGTCCTCTCACCCTGGCTTCCCAGAGTGCTAGGATTACAGGCGTGAGCCACCCCACCTGTGGCCTGAGCCATCGCACACAGCGTATTTTTTTAAAACTAAAAATGGTTTTGTGTTGCATGAGATCTTTTGGAGTTTATTCTTTTCACTTCTTGTTGAAATTTTGGTGGTCTTCTGGGGAATTTTTTTGAAAGGTCTCATGATTTTCTCTTTTTACTCATCTTTACAGAGGGGATTTATGTTGCCCTGGTTTGACTTACAATCAAGTGATTGATCTGGGATCTGTATGAAATTTTACAGCAGTTCCTGGTTAGAATCAAAGACAGAACAGAAAGCTGCAGAATGCCGTTCTGTGGGCCCAGTGGGCTGTGCGGAGGGGGGTGCTGTCGTGGCTTTCCTAACTGGACCTTCATTTAATAGATGGTGCAATCTCCAGTTAAACATTTCTCTCCACTGACACATCCAACACTGGCCACCCAGGCCTAAGCAACCGCTGGCAAGGGGAAGGGGGCCACCAGGATGGTCTCAGACTAATCCAGACTTGTTCCTGGGCTGGTTCCCCAAGCCTCCCTGAAGTTTCTGGCTGGTTGGAGGAACAAAATTAGGAAGAAGATGGGGATAAGAACCATGTATCAGCTGTGCAACCAGTGCTGTCTGTCACAGATCCAAAGCCTGTTAGCTTGACACTACTGCTATTCTGGGCGTTCCCCTCAGCTCCCACCCTCATACTCGCCTGTTTCTTGAGCAATGAGGCAAGTCCCCTACAATTTTAATTCTAAATGACACATACCAAGGCCGTCCTTGGCAGAACAGTGGTGAACATGAAATGTGTTCCTTAGGGCCCGGTGCTCTTGTGCAATTCCCCTGAGATGTCAGTGCCGGGCCTGGTCAGTGTCGGCACTGTCATAGGCTGGGGACAGGGCGAAGAGCAGAGCTCTGCCTCAGAAAGGTGGGCCAGCCTGGCCCTGACTCAGCTGTAGAACTGTTTTGGGGGTTGGCTGTTTTGTGATGAGGTCTTGCTCTGCTGGACTCAAACTCCTGGGCTTGTCACGTGATTCTCCTACCTCAGCCTCACAGATAGCTGGGATTACAGGCATGCACCACCGTGCGTGGCCCAGGGCTGGGTTTTAGTCATGCTCTCCCATCTCTCTGAGATCTCATTTTCCTGTACTTTTTCTTCTCTTACAATATTTCTTAACAAATTCTAATTTGTCCCCTGGTCTTACCCTTTGCCCCAACTTTCTCCTCCTGTCTGTCTCCCCTGAACTCCCATAGCAAGACTCCTTGTATCCACTGGATTTGTAATAATTCATTGCTCTCCCTTATGTGTTAGAAGATTAGAGACAACATTAGACACTAAGGGAAGAAATTAAGTTTTAGCAGCTGTGTGCTAGGTGCGGGGGCAAGTTCTTTCACACGTACTGGCTTCCTTTATCCTTACTGACCGTCGTAGCTTAGGTTATTCTAACCTTCATGGTATAGTTTAGGGAGGTTAGGCTCAAGGTCTCAAGCTATTATGAACCTGTGACTGCCTGGCCTCTCTCTCCCCTATGCCATCATTCTGGCCTCATGGTTTTCATAATTTCAAAGCACATTTGCATACATTAATTTGAGCCTCATAGCAGGAGCAAGGTGAGCAGCAGTATCGGCAGTTTTGAGGACAGTGGGGTCAGACTTGCCAAAGCACATGGAACTTATCTTTTTTGACTCCCACGTTAATGCGCATCTGCCACCGTGGAGTGTATCTAGCACAGTGTGGCATGTTAGTTTACTGGATGATTCAGATATATCAGGTACTCAATAAATAATTCTTATTCCGGTATATTATTATTGTTGAAAATAAAATAAACCTAATGTTACTGCCTAGAGATCTCTAGGTTCCTTTTTCCTCTATCACCTGTCCTTTATCACTTCCATTCTGGGCTCGGGCCCCCCTTGGGGACCCTCTTTCCCCAAGAACTGCATCCCCTTCCCCAAGGCTCACAAAGGGCACAACAGCCTGTCTCCCCAGGCAGGTGCTCAGAGGCATGTGCAGGAAGGAAGGGTAGTTTCTGAGTTGGAGCTGAATTGCCTGCCACCTCTCACCTTGGGGCTTCCTTGCTTCAGCCTTGAGGAAGCTGCACTCCTCAGCCTCTTCCCTGTCCTGGGTGGCAGGATGGCGTTTGTTCTGGGGCAGACAGGCTAGTGAGCCACTGCTCACCCTGCTGGGCAGGCCTTGGCCCTGGCAGTCCTCACACCAGTGTCCCGCCCCATTCAGCCCCACCCCTTCCTCTGGCCCCGCAGCCCTGGACACGGTACACACAGCCCAGGGCCCTGGCTCAAAGGGAAACAAAAGGAACTGCCTGGGTTCCCAAGGCTGTGGCCAGCACTTTCATGCCGGGGCTTAAATCTCAGAACCGTCATTACATCCCGGGGTAAGACTTCTACCCATAGCACCCCCTGCTTGCTGCTGGGAATAGGGGTATAGGGATAGAGGGATTTAGGAGTTATGCCACCTAGACCTTGGGGCCAAGCAGATGCATTGGTTTGCAGGGCCCAGGGGTGGGGTCTCTATGGTGCTGCATGCAAAAGGAAAAGCCAGGGAATGGTGACAGCCAGATCTGCCACGAAGCTTTGTGATGTCTTCTCTATGGGAACAGGGGAACAGGGACAGGAAGGATAGAAAGCCCAGGCAGAGAACTTAGGACGCCTGTTCCTAATATGCATAAAAGCTGAGTCCAGAAAGATCAGGGCTCCAGTGGTCTGTTCTGGCCCTGGGGGTAGAGGATTCTAGAGGTGAGTGGTGAGTCCTGTGCTACAGGTACACTGGACACTGCCCACTACTTCGGTTCAGCATGGGCCAGACCTACGGGCAGGTGACTGGCCAGCTACTTCGAGGGCCTCCTGGTCTAGCCTGGCCCCCTGCCCATCGCACACTTCTGCCTCCCATCCGGCCTCCAAGATCTCCTGAGGTTCCCAAGGGGAGCCTACGTCTCAGGCGTGGGCACGAAAGGCTCAGCTCCTGCATGATCCCTGGGTACACAGGTTTGTACACAGGTATGAACAGGCGCCCCCATCCCAGGACATGTGTTCCAAATACTAACGGAAATCTTCCTTGCCTCCTGCCTGCCCAGGTTTCATACCCCGGGCACAGTTCATCTTTGCCAAGAACTGCAGCCAGGTCTGGGCTGAGGCTCTGAATGATTTTACCCAGCTACATGGGGGGCAAGGGAGTCAAGAGCTGCCCAAGGAGGCCAAGGGAGAAAAAGACTTGGAGAACGACCAAGAGTCAAAGCCGGAGCTAGAGCTAGAGCTAGAGCTGGAGAAGGAGGCACCGCTGGAGGAGGCGGACCAAGTGAGACCAAGGAGGCTGGTGGGGCGTGCAGTGGGCAGAGGTGGGGAGCCTGGCCTCTGTGTCCAGGCCTGGGGTGGCCATGGTTCGTGTGGCGGTGGATACAGGGCACGTAGGCTCCCTGGGAGCTTGTGTTAGAGCAGAGGCACTGAATTGGATTTTCTGAATTTTCTTTTATCAACTCTCTCACAGGTTTTCCCCTACTCCATGGACGATGGAAACCCTCAGAAGTTCTTCATGTCAGGTGAGAACAGGTGGGTGATGACCAAAGGGTTGGGGAGGCCCCGGGATGTCTTGGCACAGTGTCCCCATCCCCCGCAGGCTTCACTGGCTATGTGCCCCGTGCCCGCTTCCTCTTCGGCTCCAGCTTTCCTGTGCTCACCAACCAGGCGCTGCGGGAATTTGGGCATAAAGACTCACAGGGTGGAGCCCAGAAGGATCCCAAACACCTCCCCCCACTTCCCAGGATCTACCCGCAGAAGCTGGGGCTCTTACCTAACTACGGGGGCTATGTGCCAGGTGACAACGGCCCCAAGGGGAGGCTTTGGGGGCTGGGGTGGGATGTGTGTGGAATAGGCGGAGGTGGTTTGGGAGGTTGGCACTAATAGAAATGGGAGGGACTGCACATCATGTGGTTCAGCTTTCTCATTAGCAGAAAAGGAAACCGAGGAAGCTCACAGTGGGGAGTTAGGACCAGATTTCAGAGGACAGTTTGGAGGGTCTGGCCAATTGGCTGAGAATTAAATGGCTTTTCCATGCCACTGGCTACACATAACAGATGCTTATACCCACACAGGGTATAAGTTCCAGTTTGGCCACACATTTGGGCATCTCACCCATGATACTCTGGGCCTCAGCACTTTCCAGAAGCAGCTCCTGGCTTAGGCTCCTGGAATTCAAGTTCTTCTTTCCCTCTTCATCCTATCCCAGCCATCCTTCTGGAAGGATGGGGGAGCACAAGAAGAAGATGGTTTGGAGGCTGAGCACCTTTTTTATTAATAGGTATAATAAATAAATAAATACATACATAAACAGAAGCCTGGGCTCCTCCTCCCACGTCTAACGACCAGGCACTGGCCACAGCCTATTTACAGCTGGGGGGCTTAGGGATCTGGCCCCAATACTGTTACCCATCCTCATCTCCACCTGGCCTAGGGAATCCCACAAATGGCCTTCTGGGCCACGTCCCTCCATAGGGACTTGCTTGTCTATACCCATGGAAGGCTTGGCCCAGATGGGCCGGGGAAATCCTGGCAGCCCAGTGCTGCGTCCCTTCCCTCCTTTCCCGGGTGGAGGTGTGGACGAGGTCACTGGGATAGTTAAGGGGGAGAATTAATACTGAGCACAGGGAGCAGGTGCCAGCACAGGGAAACGTGGCCCCAGCTCTCAGACTACTCTCTGTGGCCAAGCCAGAGGGCTTGGGAAAGGCTCTCAGGCTCTGAGTCTGGGGCTATGAGGGTCCCTGAGGCCACCAGCATGCACAGGGCCTCAGTTTTGGCTGCTTCCAGGGGTTGGACTTGGAGTTGGGGTCAATGTCACGTAGGCCAGAGGCACCAGGCCAGAGTCAGGGCCGCGGCTGCAGCGCAGCCAGTCTCCTCCGGCTGGCCCCAGCACCCGTAGGATATCTCCCTTGTGGAAGCTCAGCTGTCCAGGGCCTGTGGCCAGATGGTGGCACAGTGCCTGCACCTCGCTGGGGAGACAACAGAAGGAGGTCAGAGAAACCCCATCAAAAGCCAAACCCAGCCCCGCAGGCCTTCCACCTCCCAGGCTCACCATGGAGGCTTGGCGGGCAGGGCTGGAGAGTGCGGTTCCTGCAGGCTGTCTTTGGGCTCTGGTTCCCTCAGGGCACCCATCGTCTGTGCCACTAGTTGGAACATGGACTTGTCCAGGCTCAGCCAGTTCGAGGGGAGCCTAGGGGACAGCAGTGAGGCTCTGGCTCTGCCCATGCCCTGGCTTAGACCCAGCTCCCCACTCTGTCCTCACCACAGGCAGGCTCTTACCTATTAGTGGGCCGGGCCTCCCGCTGAGCTTTTCGGGAGCCGAAGAGGTGTCCCCACTTGATGCCCCCAGGTGAAGACTCTGAGGCCCCTTCGTCATTTTCTGCTGGTGGGGCAGCAGGCCCCTCCCTCTCCCGACTGCGCCTCAACTCAGCCAGCACAGAGTCAGGGGGGCTCCCCATCCAGAAGGGCCAGCCCCTCTCCCAGCTAAGGGCCTCCTCTGGGGCAGGGCAGGCCTCAGCCCCCTCCACGACTCCCTCTCGGGGTGGTGGAGCCTGGGAAGGCCCCCCGCCTCCTGCCCCTTTCTTTTTCTCACTGCTGCTGCCACTGTTGCTGTTGCTGCTGCCACGAGGGAACCTAGAACCCTCAGTAGAGCCATCAATGTAGACCTGGGAACTCTGCATGAGCTGGTACCACCAGCCAGCCTGCCCACTTCGGGCCCACCTGCCACGTCCTGAGCCCCCAGCTGCCTCTGCCACCTCTTCTGTCTCCTCTTCCTCTTCTCCACCTTCTGGGGCACCCACACCCTTTATTCGCTCCCCATGGGCTGCCCTGTCCATGTCTCCAGGGCCCTCCTGGCCCCTGGCCCGGGCCAACTGCAGTGTCGAGTGGGCAGACAGCAGCAGGTCCTGGGATACCCGCAGCAGTTCCTTGTGCTGCCGCTGCTGCTGCCCACTTTGCAGCAGCCGGTGCTGGAACAGCAAGTCGAGGCTGAAGGGCAGTAGGGCCAGGGGCTGTAGCAGCAGCAGCAGCTCCTCGAAGAGGCCAGGGCACACAGTATGAGCTGCACTCAGGAAGCCCCAGGGCTGGTAGTGGGTCTGGATGATATCTAGGGGGAAAGAGAGAGGCACCGATCCACACAGAGAAGCAGAGCCTGGCCTGAGTGGGACTTTGAAAGACAACCTGGGCATAGCTACTACATACATCTGCACAGGCTGTATACTAGGCAACTTAGACGCACTACAATGTAAACGATGCCTCCTGGAATTGTGCAGTGCATTAACTCCACAATCCCAGGTGGTAGCTTTGAGTTTAGTGGCAAGAGGTGTTGGGGTTCCTTGCCACCCTGACTTACAGATTGCTTGAGCATCCTGCGGACTCCAGGCTCTAACTCAAACAGGCTCAAAGCTCTGAGGATGAAAGCCTGCGTGGCCCCCCTCCCCACCGCCAGCATCTGAAAAGACAGCTCTTCCTCCCTCCTTTGAGCCTCTAAGGTCTGGCCTGTGTTGCGTTTGTGACACGGAGCAGGGCTCTGGGCATTACCTTCGTGGTTATAGAGGTGATTAAACCAGAACTCCAGGGACCGGATGCTGTAGGGAGACAGTGAAGAGAGCTGAGTCTTACTATACAGCCACATAATAAGGTACAAAGGAGACGGAGACAGGGGGTCGGACACAGGGAGGAAGAGAATGGCTCCCTTCTATGGTAGGGATGCTTCCTGGTTCATTTCATGTAATATAATTGCAGAAAGTCAGTAGGGATGTGGAGAAGGTGAACATGTGATTCACAAGCCAATTACTTCCTCCTAGAATGGAGTCAGGGCAGCTACTAAGTGAAAGGACAGGCAGCTCAAGGCCAGAGGGGATGATCTGGGCCCAGACTTGAGAAAGAATTATACCATGACATGGGTCCCAAGGTGGACTTAGGGCCAAGCAGGATTGGGAAGCAGTGCTGGAATTGAGAGGATCAGGGTTTACAAGGTCCAGATAAATTTAGAAACCTAGCTCATTTCCAAATAAGCCAGATTATAGATTTGTAAAAGCAGAAGACCATGTTGGTGATCAGTGTCAGAGAGTCACGGGCACACTGGGAAAGCAGTGACCTACTGAGAGGTGGTAGCTAGGTGGGGAGAAGGTGAGCCTGAGCCCTGGCCACAGAGTGTGCAGATCTGCACTTTCTGTCTCAGTTCGTCATGAGGCAGACAGAGTCCAGGTAGAGGGTTGGTTGTTTAGGGCTGTGGTCCCCAATCCCCCGTCCGCGGCCTGTTAGGGATCAGGCTGCAGAGCTGCCTCCCACCCGCTGTCCATGGAAAAATTGTCTTCCATGAAACTAGTCCCTGGTGCCAAAAAGGTTGGGCACCACTGGTTTAGGGCATCTTGCTGCTCCACACACTCACTTGAGCAGGCCGAGGATGAAGGCGTTGAAGCGCATGGTGTGACTGGTGAGCTCTGGGAATTGGCTGACTTTGTTATAGAGGCCATGCAGGACTTTGGTGGACGGGCCTGGGAAGAAGCCATAGTTGGAGATCATATAACCAATTTCTGGAACCCTGAATTCTACCTGGGGTCCCCATCTTGCCACCCAGCACTTACCTAGCTGTGTGGAAGCCTCAATCACACTCCACGGCATGTTCTTACGTTGCCCAATGATGACATCGAGTACGAAGGCCTTGAGCCCATCCTCCAGCACAGCCTGGACCGCAGGGCACAGGTACTTCAGAACCAGGTGGCCCACGTTGGGGCTCACAGAACTGTTTCCCAGCTTTGCCTGCAGGTGCAATAGGGAAGTGCAGGAAGTCACTCGAAGCCTAACTCAGAGCCCACATACCACTCAGTTGACCCATCTTGCCATCCCCATCCCCAAGTACTCAATGCTGGCTTTTTTTTTTTTTTTTTTCGAGACAGAGTCTCACTTTGTTGCCCAGGCTAGAGTGAGTGCCGTGGCATCAGCCTAGCTCACAGCAACCTCAAACTCCTGGCTCAAGCAATCCTCCTGCCTCAGCCTCTCGAGGAGCTGGGACTACAGGCATGCGCCACCATGCCCGGCTAATTTTTTCTATATATATTAGTTGGCCAATTAATTTCTTTCTATCTATAGTAGAGACGGGGTCTCGCTCTTGCTCAGGCTGGTTTCGAACTCCTGACCTTGAGCAATCTGCCCGCCTCGGCCTCCCAGAGTGCTAGGATTACAGGCGTGAGACACCGCGCCCGGCCTGCTGGCTTCTAAATGCAAGAGAGCAGGGGAAGGTGCCAGTGCAGAATAGGTGAGAGTTTTCCACGCTTTCCTGCCTACCTTCACCCCAGGATCCCGGCTTGTGCCAAAATGGGCCACAATGAGGTCCACGGCGGTGTTAACAGCTTTTACCAACCCTGCAAGGAAGAATTTGATGTGGCAGGTCCCTGAACAAGTCCCTGGCCAACTCAGTGGGATGGGGAAGGGTTCCCACGCTTACTTTTAGTCCCTGCACTTGCACATGAGTCTCCTCAAAACATTCAGGTCTGGCTCTTTCTGTTTCTGCCCAGTTCCAAAGCCCTTCCTGTCCTCACCCCCAAGCCTGGACCCACATCAGCGATAGCATCGCCAAGACCCTCAATGTCCTCACTTCCCAGCCCCAGTGGGCTGACCCTGGATTTCTCCACTCTGAGAAACCAAGCCACTGGCCTGAAGAAAACCCAAGTTCTTGGCACCAATGCCAGACAAGGGTGATTCTTTGACATGTGCCTTGGCAGCATCTGCTACACCCTAGAGCTGCCATCCAAACCTTTACCCGCGTCTCTAGCCTTTGGTTCTACTTCACACAGAGAACAGCTGTGTGATCATGAATTCCTTTAACTTCCCTCTCCCTGCAAAACACACAAGAGAATAGTATCTACACCTCCTTGCCCTTCTGCCCTCTTGCTCCCTTCGCCTCCTAGAGGAAGGTGGCTGTTCCCCTTTGGCCCCAGGTTCTTCCCTCTAAGCTCTGAATCTCCCATTGTCTATGCAAGGACCTTCACCTTCACCCTTCTCCCTTTGCTCAGGCTCCTCCCCTGCAGCTCACGATTATGCTCAATTCTCTCCCCACCACCTTGCTGAAATTGCTTAGTTCAGTGGTTGCTTATTTGCTAAATAGAGTGGTTCTTTCGGCCCTCTTCTTAGTAGATGTCACCAATATGCTCACCCAAGCTGCTAGGCCCTTCAGTGCTTTTAGCCGCCCCTCCGAGTGCTTGGGCATTTGTTCCTTACATGGCTGCCTCTCTCACAGGACTTAGCTCACTGAGGGAAGGGACTGGAACCCGACTTGTAAGCCACTGTGATACATGACCCTTGCTCACTTGCAC